GAAGTGATGGGACCTGATGCCATGAGTTTTAAGCCAACAAAAACTAGTTCCTCTGCCTTTTCTAAATCTAGCTTGTACATCTGTAAATTCTCAGTTCATGTACCGCTGAAACCTAGCTTGAAGGATTTTGAGCATAATCTTACTAGCATGTGAAACGAGCACAACTGCACAGTAGTCTGTACATTCTTATCACTGCCCTTTGGGATTGGAATGAAAACTGACCTCTTCCAGTCCTATGTCCACTGCTGGGGTTTCCAAATTTCCTGACATACTGAGTGCAGCACTTTAACAGCATCATCTTTTAGGATTTTAAATAGTTCAGCTGGAATTCCATCACCTTCAATAACTTTGTTTGTAGAGTAATGCTTCCTAAGGCCCACTTGACTTCAGACTTCAGGATGTCAGGCTCTAGATGAGTGATCACACCACTGTGGCTATCTACATCATTATGGCCTTTTATGTCTAGTTCTTCTGTGTATTCTTGCCACCTGTTCTTAATATCTTCCACTTCTATCAGGTCCTTACCAGTACTGTCCTTTATTGTGCCCGCCCTTGAATGAAATGTTTGTTCCCTTGATATCTCCAATTTTCTTGAAGAAATCTCTAGTCTTTCCTATTCTATTGTTTTCCTCTACTTTGCACTGTTCATTTAAGAAGGACTTTTTTTTATGCAATCAAATTTTTAATAAAAAGATACTGTTTTTAACATGGTCAAATATACGTGGCTAAGTCCAGATTTTAAAAAACAAAAGTGTCTAGCCCAACAGTACCACCATACAGCTTTGTACAGAACATTTCATAGATCAACAGAAAATATATCTGAGCACAAAAATAAAAAATATTTTAAAAGAATCATTTTATTTCTGCAAAACAGACATACAGAACTGAAAAGTTATGAAATTAAACAAAAGTAAATTATTTTAAATGATCATTAAAATGTGTCTGTATACTTGTTATGCCCATTTTCCTAGGGTTCAAAACTTGAGGCATTATTCAGAAATGCTTTTTTAATTTTAATTATCTTTAAAATCAAGTGAAACATGTTAAATACTAGGTCCAGTTTTCTTCCATCTTTCAGAGATTCATGGAGTAAGAAACTAATCTAGTACAAACTGAAGATTAAATATTTCTGGGCAGTGGAGAGATAGTGATTAGATTATGTGGATGTGGACTTCACATCAGTCCAGCCAGAGCATGCATTTTGCACTTTAGAAATGGAATGGGACCAGCCTAACTTTGTTCGGAATAGGTTTTCTTTTGCTAAGAAGGCTTTTTATCTCTCCTGGCTGTTCTCTGGAACTCTTTTCAGTTGCTTATGTCTTTTCCTTTCTCCCTCACTTTTTGCTTCTCTTCTTTCCTCAGTTATGCATAAAGCCTCCTCACACAATCATTTGGCCTTCTTGCATTTCTTTTCTTTTGGATGGTTTTGGTTTTGGTCACTGCCTCCTGTACAATGTTACAAACCTCCATCTACAGTTCTTCAGACACTCTCTCTATCATTTCTAATCCTTTGAATCTATTCATCACCTCTACTGTATAATCATAATGGATTTGATTTGGTCATACCTAAGTGGGCTAGTGGTTTTCCCTAGCTTCTTCCATTTAAGCCTGGATTTTTAATAAGGAGTTCATGATCTGAGCCACAGTCAACTCCAGGTCTTGTTTTGCTGACTGTATGGAGCTTCTCCATATTCAGTTGCAAAGAATATAATCAATCTGATTTCGGTGTTAACCATCTGAAGATGTCCATGTGTAGAGTTGTCTCTTGTGTTGTTGGAAGAGGATGTTTGCTATGACCAGCATGTTATCTTGACAAATCTCTGTTAGCCTTTGCTCTGCTTCATGTAGCACTCCAAGGCCAAATTGCCTGTTACTCCAGGTATCTCTTGACTTCTTACTTTTGCATTCCAATCCCCTATGATGAAAAGGACAGCTTTTATTGGTGTCAGTTATAGAAGTTCTTGGAGGTCTTCATAGAACCATTCAACTTCAGTTTCTTTGGCCTTAGTGGTTGGGGCACAGATTTGAATTACTGTGATGTTGAAGGGTTTGCCTTGGAAACAAACAGATCATTCTGTAATTTTTGAGATTGCACCCAAGTACTAGATTTTGAACTCTTTTGTTGACTATGAGAGCTACTCCATTTCTTTTAAGAGATTCTTGCCCACAGTAGTAAATATAATGGTCATCTGAGTTAAATTCGCCCATCCATTTTATTAATAGTTCACTGATTCCTAAGATGTTAGTGTTCACTCTTGCCATCTCCTGCTTGAAAAGTGAAAGTGTTAATTGTTCAATCATGTCCAACTCTTTGCGACCCTATAGACTGTAGCCCACCAGACTCTTCTGTCCATGGGATTCTCCAGACAAAAATACTGGAGTGGGTTGCCATTTCCTTTTTCAGGGGTTCTTCCCGACCGAGGGATTGAACCCAAGTCTCCCACATTGCAGGCAGCTTCTTTACTATCTGACCCACCAGGGAAGCCCTATCTCCTGCTTGACCACATCCAATTTACCTTAATTCATGGACCTAACATTCCAGATTCCTATGCAATATTGTTCTTTACAGTGTCAGATGTTACTTCCACCCTCAGACTCAGCCACAACTGAGCATCATTTCCACTTTGGCTCAGCTGCTTCATTTTTCCCTGGAACTATAAGTAATTGCCCTCCACTCCCCAGTAGCATGTTGGACACCTTCTGATCTGAGGGGCTTATATTCTGGTGTCATATATTTTTGCCTTTTCATACTATTCGTGGGGTTCTTGAGGCTGGAGTGGGTTGCCATTTCCCCCTCTAGTGGACTACATTTTGTCAGAACTCTTCACTATGATTATCCATCTCGGATGGCCCAGCATGGCATGGCTCATAGCTTCATTAAGTTACACAAGCCCTTTCGCTACAACAAGGCAGTGATCCATGCAGGGGACTCTTCTCCCTTGTTCTCTCTTTATACATATGTGGAGGTGGGTGCTGATAGTTGTTAGGAGAGCAAATCTTTTGACTTCATAGGGTGTCTAATCCTTCCAGAGGACAATGATTGTTGCCAATTTTTGGCATCACTTTGGAGATTTTCATAGGAAGCTGATACTAAAGCTGAAGCTCCAGTACTTTGGCCACCTGATGTGAAGAGCTGAAATCATTGGAAAAGACCATGATGCTGGGAAAGATTAAAGTCAGGAGGATGGAGCTACAGAGGATGAGATGGTTAGATAGCATCATTGACTCAATGGACATGAATTTGCAAAATCTCTGGGAGATAGTGAAGGAAAGGAAAGCCTGGTATGCTTCAGTCCATAGGGTCACAAAGAGTCAGACATGTCTTAGTGACTGAACAATAGCAATTCTATATCAAGAGCCACTTTCTTTCTTTCTTTTTTTTTTTTTGGCTGTACTGGGTGGCTGCCATTGTTATGGGACGCAGGCCCTAGGACTCGGGGACTTCAGTAGTTGTGGCTCTTGGGCCCTAGAGCACAGGCTCAGTAGTTGTGATGCATGGACTCAGTTGCCCCACAGCATGTGGGATCCTCCAAAATGAAACCATGTCTCCTGCATTGATAGTGGATTCTTTATCCCTAAGCCACCAGGGAAGCTCAATCTGTCATATTATAGTGACAGATTTTTGTGTCTGTTGCATACCTGAAATGGAAGAGAAAAGAGGACTAATAGTGGAAAAGTAAACGTCCAGATACAAGACAGTCCTTTGCTTACGTAACCTGAGGTCAGGACTCTACATCTGTAGAAGAGCATACGAAGGGTAGGCACAGGGCTTTCTTCACTTGTTTCCTCACTCAGCTCTATTACTCAGCCCTGATTAACTGTGCGTCGACACAGCCTATCCTTCTATCTCCACCTTAGAGGAGTTCACCATTGCTTGGGTGTGTTTGTTTCTGAATTACTCAGTGGGAAATGAGTGTCACATCATATTCACTCAATCAAAATGGTTCCAGAACAAAGGCTAATGTCACCACCACTACCCCATTCTTTTGCGGAGAAACAAGAAAGAAAAACTAAAGTTAAAATTTTTGACTGATATATAGTCTTTTAATGGTAGAGTAATTGAAATAATCAGTTCACTATAAATATTAAATTAAACTTTAATCCAGTTAGCCCATATACTTCTTTAAAAAATGTATTTTAATTAAATACAGAGTTCTGTGGAGAAGGAAATGGCAACCCACTCCAGTATTCTTGCCTGGAGAATCCCATGGACAGAGGAGCCTGGCAGGCTACTGTCCACAGGGTCACAAGAGTCGGACGTGACTTAACAACTAAACCACCACCACCGTAAAGAGTTCTGAGGTTAGCAAGTAGAATGATTAATTGCTTTCTCAACCAGGAAGGCACAGGAGGAGAGGCCAATACCGATGGTTCAAAGCCCCACCTGTTAAGAGATGGGCTTAAGGGAAAAGAAAGAACAGAGCAACTGATTCTGCTTGGCAAAGATTTCACAGAAGACCAGTGAAAAAGTGAAAGTGTTAGTTGTTCAGTTGTATCCAACTCTATGTGACCCCATGAGCTGTAGCCCACCAGGCTCCTCAGTCCATGAATTCTCCAGGCAAGGATACTGGAGTCTGTAGCCATTCATCCAGGGATTGAACCTGGGTCTCCTCCATTGTAGGGAGATTCTTTACCAGCTGAGGCACCACAGAAGGCCAAGGACTCACCAATGATTAAGATGTCACCAAGATGACAGAGAAATTTCATTACTGGAAGAAGAAGCAACATGAGTAAAAAGTACCAAGACTTGAATAAAATTCCCAACACACATGAAAGATGCTCACCAAAAATGTTCAGGCTGAAAAGAATACAATTATTTTTCTAATTTCCATCCCAAAGTAATCAAAGTCTTTGTGCTCATTCCTTCTTGTTAAATCAGTGTAATAAGTGTAAGAAGCAAACCCTGGAAACAATTTCCTGCTTTTGACTATATCTTTGCTCCTAAGAAGCTACTCTGTGTGGTTAAACAGAGCAAGTTTTCATTCAAATATAGAAAACTACTACCAAGACATTAGTTCCTTGTCNAACTCATCTTTTCTGGATTCCTTTGTTTCAAAGCTTGCATCATACAGAGCATAGTGACAATCTTTTTCAGGAAGCATCCCCACAAAATGCTTGAAAGGATCAGTTATGGTGACACCAACATCTCCCACCAAGATCTCTTTGCCTTCCTCCACGATGATGCACTTTTTGTCTGCACTGAGACAGAAGATGACAGCCTTCTTTCTTTTCTTGATTTCTTCTGGTGTGGAGCACTTCCGAACTTTCATGTCATAAAAAATGCGACATACTTCGTCGGCAACTTGCACTCCTGAGGCCATGTTCGCCGCAGCGATCGCAGAGCGCGGAGAGGGAGACAGCTGTCGCTGAGTCTACGGAGCGTCCTCTTCACCCGCAATATTTCATATAATATGCACTTCTTAGCTCATTTTGTAATTGTCTATACATTCCTGGTGTCTCTGATAACCGTGGATTGTGTCCTTTCTTTTAACTACACTATTCCCAAAGCCTAGCTAAGTGCTAGACACATAGTTCAGCTCAGTTCAGTTTAGTTCAGTCACTCAGTCATGTCCAACTCTTTGCAGCCCCAAGGACAGCAGCATGCCAAACTTCCCTGTCCATTACCAACTCCCAGAGCTTGCTCAAATAATGTCTATCAAGTCAGTGATGCCATCCAACTATCTCATCCTCTGTCATCCACTTCTCCTTCTGCCTTCAATCTTGCCCAGCATCAGGGTCTCTTTTCCAATGAGTCATATCTTCACATTAAGTGTGACTCAATGGACATGAATTTGCAAAATCTCTGGGAGATAGTGAAGGAAAGGAAAGCCTGGTATGCTTCAGTCCATAGGGTCACAAAGAGTCAGACATGTCTTAGTGACTGAACAATAGCAATTCTATATCAAGAGCCACTTTCTTTCTTTCTTTTTTTTTTTTTGGCTGTACTGGGTGGCTGCCATTGTTATGGGATGCAGGCCCTAGGACTCGGGGACTTCAGTAGTTGTGGCTCTTGGGCCCTAGAGCACAGGCTCAGTAGTTGTGATGCATGGACTCAGTTGCCCCACAGCATGTGGGATCCTCCAAAATGAAACCATGTCTCCTGCATTGATAGTGGATTCTTTATCCCTAAGCCACCAGGGAAGCTCAATCTGTCATATTATAGTGACAGATTTTTGTGTCTGTTGCATACCTGAAATGGAAGAGAAAAGAGGACTAATAGTGGAAAAGTAAACGTCCAGATACAAGACAGTCCTTTGCTTACGTAACCTGAGGTCAGGACTCTACATCTGTAGAAGAGCATACGAAGGGTAGGCACAGGGCTTTCTTCACTTGTTTCCTCACTCAGCTCTATTACTCAGCCCTGATTAACTGTGCGTTGACACAGCCTATCCTTCTATCTCCACCTTAGAGGAGTTCACCATTGCTTGGGTGTGTTTGTTTCTGAATTACTCAGTGGGAAATGAGTGTCACATCATATTCACTCAATCAAAATGGTTCCAGAACAAAGGCTAATGTCACCACCACTACCCCATTCTTTTGCGGAGAAACAAGAAAGAAAAACTAAAGTTAAAATTTTTGACTGATATATAGTCTTTTAATGGTAGAGTAATTGAAATAATCAGTTCACTATAAATATTAAATTAAACTTTAATCCAGTTAGCCCATATACTTCTTTAAAAAATGTATTTTAATTAAATACAGAGTTCTGTGGAGAAGGAAATGGCAACCCACTCCAGTATTCTTGCCTGGAGAATCCCATGGACAGAGGAGCCTGGCAGGCTACTGTCCACAGGGTCACAAGAGTCGGACGTGACTTAACAACTAAACCACCACCACTGTAAAGAGTTCTGAGGTTAGCAAGTAGAATGATTAATTGCTTTCTCAACCAGGAAGGCACAGGAGGAGAGGCCAATACCAATGGTTTGAAGCCCCACTTGTTAAGAGATGGGCTTAAGGGAAAAGAAAGAACAGAGCAACTGATTCTGCTTGGCAAAGATTTCACAGAAGACCAGTGAAAAAGTGAAAGTGTTAGTTGTTCAGTTGTATCCAACTCTATGTGACCCCATGAGCTGTAGCCCACCAGGCTCCTCAGTCCATGAATTCTCCAGGCAAGGATACTGGAGTCTGTAGCCATTCATCCAGGGATTGAACCTGGGTCTCCTCCATTGTAGGGAGATTCTTTACCAGCTGAGGCACCACAGAAGGCCAAGGACTCACCAATGATTAAGATGTCACCAAGATGACAGAGAAATTTCATTACTGGAAGAAGAAGCAACATGAGTAAAAAGTACCAAGACTTGAATAAAATTCCCAACACACATGAAAGATGCTCACCAAAAATGTTCAGGCTGAAAAGAATACAATTATTTTTCTAATTTCCATCCCAAAGTAATCAAAGTCTTTGTGCTCATTCCTTCTTGTTAAATCAGTGTAATAAGTGTAAGAAGCAAACCCTGGAAACAATTTCCTGCTTTTGACTATATCTTTGCTCCTAAGAAGCTACTCTGTGTGGTTAAACAGAGCAAGTTTTCATTCAAATATAGAAAACTACTACCAAGACATTAGTTCCTTGTCTCCCAAATCATACTGTATCATGTTGTTGGAACATATTCCTGAGCCACTTAAGGAGCCCTGCTCTGAGCTTCACAGGAAACAATATTTCATATAATATGCACTTCTTAGCTCATTTTGTAATTGTCTATATATTCCTGGTGCCTCTGATAACCGTGGATTGTGTCCTTTCTTTTAACTACACTATTCCCAAAGCCTAGCTAAGTGCTAGACCCATAGTTCAGCTCAGTTCAGTTTAGTTCAGTCACTCAGTCATGTCCAACTCTTTGCAGCCCCAAGGACAGCAGCATGCCAAACTTCCCTGTCCATCACCAACTCCCAGAGCTTGCTCAAATAACGTCTATCAAGTCAGTGATGTCATCCAACCATCTCATCCTCTGTCATCCACTTCTCCTTCTGCCTTCAATCTTGCCCAGCATCAGGGTCTTTTCCAATGAGTCATATCTTCACATTAAGTGTCCAAAGTACTGGATTTTCAGCTTCAGCATTGGTCCTTCCAATGAACATTCAGGACTGATTTCCTTCAGGAATGACTGGTTGGATCTCCTTGCAGTCCAAGGGACTCTCAAGAGTCTTCTCCAACACCACAGTTCAAAAGCATCTATTCTTCCATGCTCAGCTTTCTTTGTGGTCCAACTCTCACATCCGCATATGACTACTACAGAAACCATAGCTTTGACTAGATGGACCTTTGTCAGCAAGGTAATGTCTCTGCTTTTCAATATGCTGTCTAGGTTTGTCATAGCTTTTCTTCCAAAGAGCAAGCATCTTTTAATTTCATGGCTGCAGTCACCATCTGCAGTGATTTTGGAGCCCCCCAAAATAAAGTCTGCCATGGTATCTATTGTTTTCCCATCTATTTGCCATGAAGTGATGGGATCAGATGCCATGATCTTAGTTTTTTGAATACTGAGTTTTAAGCCAGCTTTTTCTCTCTCCTCATTCATTTTCATCAAGAGACTCTTTAGTATCTCTTTGCTTTCTGCTATAAGGGTATTGTCACCTTCATATCTGAGGTTGTTGATATTTCTCCCAGCGATCATGATTCCAGCTTGTTCTTCATTCAGCCCAGCATTTTGCACAATGTACTCTGCATGTAAATTAAATAAGTAGGGTGACAATATACAGCCTTGACATATTCCTTTCTCAATTTGTAACTAGTTCATTGTTCCATGTCCAGTTCTAACTGTTGCTTCTTGACCTGCATACAGATTTCTCAGGAGGCAGGTCAGGTGGTCTGCTATCTCTTTAAAAATTTCCCACAGTTTGTCATGATCCGCCCAGTCAAAGGCTTTGGCATAGTCAGTAAAGCAGAAGTAGATGTTTTTCTGGAATTCTCTTGTTTTTTCTATGATCCAGTGGGTGTTGGCAATTTGATCTCTGGTTCCTCTGCATTTTCAAAATCCAGCTTGAACATCTGGAAGGCCTTTGTTCATGTACTGTTGAAGCCTGGCTTGGAGAATTTTGAGCATTACCTTGTTATGTTAGTGTGTGAGATGGGCACAATTGGTGGTAGTTTGAATATTCTTTGCTATTGCCTTTCTTTGGGATTGGAAGGAAAACTGACCTTTTCCAGTCCTGTGGCCATGGCTGAGTTTTCCAAATTTGCTGGCATATTGAGTGCAGCACTTTCACAGCATCATATTTTAGGATTTGAAATACCTCAGCTGGAATTCTGTCACCTTCACTAGCTTTGTTCACAGTCATGCTTCTTAAGGCCCACTTGACTTCACATTCCAAGGTATGTGATGTTAGGTGAGTGATCACATCATTCTGGTTATCTGGGTCATTAAGATCTTTTGTTTATAGTTCCATGTATTCTAGCCACCTGTTCTTAATAGCTTCTGCTTCTGTTAGGTACATACCATTTTTTCCCTCAATTGTGCCCATTTGTTGTGCCCAAATGTTCCCTAAGTATCTCTAATTTTCTTGAAGAGGTCTCTAGTCTTTCCCATTCTGTTGCTTTTTTTTTTTCTATTTCTTTGCATTTGTCACTTTCTTACCTCTCTTTGTTATTCTTTGGAACTCTGCATTCACATGCAGACACATAGTTGGCACTCAGTAAATATCTGTTAGATGAACAAGTATCTTCTCCCTTGTGTTTTTGTACATCTGAAATCTTCTTCTTTTCAGGGTACTGAAAAGAATCAGGGTACTGGGCCAGACCTGGCCAAGCTGTCAGTAGGGCTGACAACTAAGGATTAGGTCCTAGGGTAGGTCACACCAACTGAGGTTCCTGTGGAGAAAAGCAAGAGTGCTGATATCAAGTCCAACTCCTTCAAGAGAATGAACTTTCAAAATCAAGGAAACAGAGGGGAGAATCAGGGTTTTAAATGCAGAGAGAAGCCTAGGCTGTGCCTCTCAAACTGGGGATCTTGTGTTCACAGGCGTATTTGTCAAGGTGCCTTGGAAGCCTGGAAGCCATAAGACCAACATGTAGCATCTCCCTACAGTATCAAATTTATTCAATGGTGAGTAATTTAGAAATTCCATTTCTATTAAACATAGCCTAAAATACATATCTTCACAGATTTTAACTGTAAAAATGAGATTTCAAAATAACTCTATGCTTTCAAGTGAGCCATTTTAATGTGTATGCCAAGTTCCTAGAGTCGTGTGCTTTTCCTCTTGATGTTGGGGATGCTGCAGCATGAATTTCTGAGACGCATAGATAGGGTAAGAAACTAAGCAATACCAAACTCTCAAAGAAATACATTGGGCACAATTCGAGAAGGATCTTGAGCACCCGACAAGAGCAATACTGGGTGTTGCTCTTAGCTCTCCTTACCTAATCTTACTGATTTGCATAAAGGTG